TTTTTTTGGGGGGGGTGATTCTCTTCCCCCTCCGAGCCCTCTTCAGACAGGGAGGTGCAGTGGTTAAAGTCTTAGCTGAGCAACTACAATCCTGAAAGCTCCAAGCAAACCCAGTTCACTACCTGAACTTCCACTGTTCTTCTACCTGACCTACCTTGCAGGGTTGGTTGTCCATCTAAAAGGCAACAATGGACTTGAATTGCATCACATAAAATTGGTATGTTTCAGGAGACCCTCCCTTTGTCCCTGGCTTTAGATGGAAAGGGTTTTAGAGGAAGGGGTAGGCAGCCAGCATGCTACCTGGTGGAATCTGGGAGTTGTAGTCCAAAACCATAACATTTCCAGGCTCTGGGCCTGCAGCAAATGGGTGCAAAAAAGAAGTTGGACCGTGGACCAGCCCTGTGATTCAGCTGTGGTTGTGGCCTGTGGTTGATCATTGTCATGTGGGAATGGACGCTGTGGCTGCCCAGAGGGGCCCTCCTGCCGCACGATGGCGTAGCAGGTGTGTCTGTTTTGGGCAGCGCAGATTCTTGGCAGCCTGGGGGTTCTTGTCCCTATGTCCTCTTGCCTGCCTGCTTGACCCCTTTCTGAGAGACATCAGGCTCTTTCCTCCCTCCCACCTGCACCCCTGATTGTGACGTTCCCTCAGCTTCCCCCCCCCCCAGCCTTCCATGGTGTCGGGAAAAGCATACCGAGAAAGGCCTAAGTTGCAGGCAAGGGAGCTGCACGATGATGGGTATGAAGTTCCAAAGGGCAATTCAACTAATGAGGCCTCATCACCTGATTAGAAGAAAAGACGGGATGGGATGGAGATGGAGCATTCTTGAGGCTTGCAGGGGCGCCATGAAGTCAAGAGAGAGCGGGTGGTCACATCCTCATTGAGGACACCCAGGTCCTTCATGGGCTTAACCTCCCTCGCGCCCTCCTCCAAAAAAGTACCAGGTTTGTATTTCTGCAAACCTTGGGGTTCCAGAGCCCATGAGAAGAGCAATGGAAGGAGACGTCTCTAAAAGCCAAAAGCGAGTCTCCAAGATTGAAATGGAGCCAGGAAGGAAATGGAGTCAGGAATGGTTCCTTGGCCCTGTAATGATGAGGAAATGACCAAAACATTTTGCTGCCTGACTCAGAAAAATCCACTTCCAGACCCAATGAGGTGGAGAGAATAGGGCTCTTCCTTCCTTCCTTCCTTCCTTCCTTCCTTTTCCTTCCTTCCTCTTCCTTCCTTCCTTCCTTCCTTCCGTCCGTCCTTCCTTCCTTCCTTCCTTCCTTCCTCCCTTCCTTCCTTCCTTCCTTTTCCTTCCTTCCTCTTCCTTCCTTCCTTCCTTCCTTCCGTCCGTCCTTCCTTCCTTCCTTCCTTCCTTCCTCCCTTCCTTCCTTCCTTCCTTTTCCTTCCTTCCTCTTCCTTCCTTCCTTCCTTCCTTCCGTCCGTCCTTCCTTCCTTCCTTCCTTCCTTCCTCCCTTCCTTCCTTCCTTCCTTTTCCTTCCTTCCTCTTCCTTCCTTCCTTCCTTCCTTCCGTCCGTCCTTCCTTCCTTCCTTCCTTCCTTCCTCCCTTCCTTCCTTCCTTCCTTTTCCTTCCTTCCTCTTCCTTCCTTCCTTCCTTCCTTCCGTCCGTCCTTCCTTCCTTCCTTCCTTCCTTCCTCCCTTCCTTCCTTCCTTCCTTTTCCTTCCTTCCTCTTCCTTCCTTCCTTCCTTCCTTCCGTCCGTCCTTCCTTCCTTCCTTCCTTCCTTCCTCCCTTCCTTCCTTCCTTCCTTTTCCTTCCTTCCTCTTCCTTCCTTCCTTCCTTCCTTCCGTCCGTCCTTCCTTCCTTCCTTCCTTCCTTCCTCCCTTCCTTCCTTCCTTCCTTTTCCTTCCTTCCTCTTCCTTCCTTCCTTCCTTCCTTCCGTCCGTCCTTCCTTCCTTCCTTCCTTCCTTCCTCCCTTCCTTCCTTCCTTCCTTTTCCTTCCTTCCTCTTCCTTCCTTCCTTCCTTCCTTCCGTCCGTCCTTCCTTCCTTCCTTCCTTCCTTCCTCCCTTCCTTCCTTCCTTCCTTTTCCTTCCTTCCTCTTCCTTCCTTCCTTCCTTCCTTCCGTCCGTCCTTCCTTCCTTCCTTCCTTCCTTCCTCCCTTCCTTCCTTCCTTCCTTTTCCTTCCTTCCTCTTCCTTCCTTCCTTCCTTCCTTCCGTCCGTCCTTCCTTCCTTCCTTCCTTCCTTCCTCCCTTCCTTCCTTCCTTCCTTTTCCTTCCTTCCTCTTCCTTCCTTCCTTCCTTCCTTCCGTCCGTCCTTCCTTCCTTCCTTCCTTCCTTCCTCCCTTCCTTCCTTCCTTCCTTTTCCTTCCTTCCTCTTCCTTCCTTCCTTCCTTCCTTCCGTCCGTCCTTCCTTCCTTCCTTCCTTCCTTCCTCCCTTCCTTCCTTCCTTCCTTTTCCTTCCTTCCTCTTCCTTCCTTCCTTCCTTCCTTCCGTCCGTCCTTCCTTCCTTCCTTCCTTCCTTCCTCCCTTCCTTCCTTCCTTCCTTTTCCTTCCTTCCTCTTCCTTCCTTCCTTCCTTCCTTCCGTCCGTCCTTCCTTCCTTCCTTCCTTCCTTCCTCCCTTCCTTCCTTCCTTCCTTTTCCTTCCTTCCTCTTCCTTCCTTCCTTCCTTCCTTCCGTCCGTCCTTCCTTCCTTCCTTCCTTCCTTCCTCCCTTCCTTCCTTCCTTCCTTTTCCTTCCTTCCTCTTCCTTCCTTCCTTCCTTCCTTCCGTCCGTCCTTCCTTCCTTCCTTCCTTCCTTCCTCCCTTCCTTCCTTCCTTCCTTTTCCTTCCTTCCTCTTCCTTCCTTCCTTCCTTCCTTCCTTCCCTCCGCTTTCCCCGCTGGCTGCTTTCATCCCAGCCCCAGCCTCGGCTTCTGCACCTTCCTTCCCCCACGGTTTTCTCCTCTCGCTGCTGCTGCTGCTGCTGCTCCTGGTGGCCTCCCTCCCAGATGGACACCCAGCCTTGCAGCTTTGTTGCTGTGGAAATGGATTGGAGAGAATTAGAAGACAGTGCAAGGGACAAGAGGGGAGGAGGCCATGACGGATGCTCAGGGTCAGGGCTGTGGAAGAGAGGGGCAGGGAGGCAGAGTTTGAGAAAGGCGCTCCCAAGTCCCAGAGCCCCTCAGCCAGGAGGAGGGAGAGGAAACCAGCTGGGTGAAGCTCCCCCTCTCGGAGGCGTCAGGAGGAGAGAGATGGGGAGAAGGCAGGTTGGCAGATGGTTGCAGCAGGTGGAGCGTGGGTGGTCTCACCTGCCAGGCCCCCAAGAGCCCCTGACATCGACCGTGAGGGTGGCTGAGCAGACGAGGGGATCAGAACGTTTCTCCTGGGTGAGAAACATTGAGGGGGATCCCGGCTGCCTGCCAAGGACACTCACAGACCCTCGCTCGGCTCACCTGTAGTGAAAGGGAAAGTGTCTGTATGCAGTGCAGCCATCGCCTGACGGAACTCACTGCCACAAGAGGTGGCCTTTAAAAGGTCTGATTTCAGAAATCAAACAGAGTGGAGCATGCACACACACACACACGAGAGAGAGAGAGAGAGAGAAGGAGGGGTCCCCAGGGATTGTTGGGAAAGGATACTGCCTGGGAGACCAGCCATAGCAGCTGCCGGTCACAGTAGGTGGGGCTGAAATGAACGAGGGGGCTGACTTGGGAAGAGGCAGCTTTCTGGGGGTCCTAAAAGGAGGCTGACCAGCAGCTCTGGTCAATGTTATATTTCAGCGTTCGCACAACCAAGAGATCCCCAAGGCTCCTTTTTCACCGGCACAACCTCCGCAGAGCTCTGAAG